GCATACACTGTCCTGGACACTGTATATAAAATTGCTCTGTTTAGAAGGTGGTCTTGCTTTACAGAAATTAGCTCCTGAGAGAGAAGTAGAACCCATTTAACAATATGGATGTGGAATGAAGAATAAAAATAGCAAATAAACTACTGCCAAACTGGAAAGTGCACACAGCCAGACGACCTACTATGCGGCCACAATGAAAACACTGGTGTTTCTAACAGGCCTGAAGGTGTGAAGAGCCCCTGCTGCGGGGGTGGAGGGGCGCAGCTCTGAGCCCAGTGCCCCTCCCCCCCACGTGCTGTGGCCTGAACCGAGGCTGCTTCCCACTGCACACGCTCCACGGGCTGCTGGGTTTTCTCTTCTATGTTTTAAGAGCGATAGAGATTTAGAGCAATGTGAGAAAGTAACCTCAAGCTTCATGTTACTTCAACAGAAAGAGGAAGTTGTTTGAATTCGAATTTATCATTTCAGATCAGGAAGAGGCCTCAGAGATTATATAATCCAGTCTCTGTATTTTACAGAGAAGAAAACCAAAGCCCAGGGCCCAGAAAAGGCTGGTGACTTGCTAAGGCCATGTGGTTATTTAATAGTGGAAGACTGCATTCGTGTGAAACAGTTGACATGTCGTAAATGACCAATAGTTACCCATGGAACACGTAACCTTTTTCTTAAAAACGAAAGGAAAACCGTGCTTCCCAAGAGCTGATGAGAGCCGTTGCCAGCAGCTTGCTGGTGGCATATTTCACTCCTCGCCTGCTTCCCTGAGAGGGACAGAGGCCTTTGCCTGGCATCAGTGTGGTGACTGTGTGCTGACCTGGGCTCAGGCCGCATCTCCCCAGGCCTGGTCCAGCGAAACGCTGCCACATGCTCAGGGTCTGCTCCGGAGCCACCCTCCCTCCAGACCAGGCTCTCCGCAGCAGTTCCCCAGAAGCCGCTCTTCCCCTCAGTTCACTGAACATCCTTGTATGTCCCCTAGAGAATGGCAAAATCTAAACAAACAAGTGCTATTTTCAGTGTGTCTTCCTGAAAACCAAGCTTCACCCACATGAAACCAGCTAGCATGCTTCAAATGCAGAAGGCTTCTAGGTACTTTCTGAGTTTGCTCTGACTCATGTCTTACCTACATATTTATCCTCAATTTAAAAATCAAATCAAATCAAATAAAGCAGAGAAATGAGGGCTCTCTTTCAATGTAAAACTATTTGATGCTTCCCACACCCTCAATTTTCTCCATTACCTCGCAAAACTTTTTCTTTTTCCCTTGAAATGGGTATAGAATTCAGATAACTAACATATCTGGAAGATTATTTGGGGAGCATTCAGACTTTAGAAGTTAGCAATTTAATACAAGGTACTGTCACGTCAAGTGCTGTGATCTAATCAGACCTCTTTCCATAATGACTAACAGAGTTTTGTGATGTCACTTGCCTATACAAAAACTATAATTGGCTTCCTAATGGGATCCCTTCAGATTAAATATGGCCTCCTAAGCTTGGGAGCCTGTCATTAATGTTTTCTTTCCCTCTGCCTATGAAAGAAACTACACCGGTAATTCGGCCCCAGCCGAACTCCAACACATTCCGCCCCCTTTGCAGCCAGGCTGTTCTCCTCACCACGCACCCGCCCCACTAGTCTCGTTCACAGTCCCCTTCGTGCCTTCCTTGCCGGCAGTTCCACACCTCACTGCCTGTCCGCCAAGAACGGGCTTAAAGCTACTTCTCGCCTAGAAATCTTCCCACCTAAGCCCAGATAACAGCTGTTCTAGCACTTGTTTATTCTGAGAGTCACTCCATGTTTTGTTTTGCATTACTTCTATGCAAAAAGCTGCAAACTATAGACACAGGGAGATGGGGGTGGAGGCAGACCACACACACACACCAGCTGCGCCCCCCCCCCCCCCCCGTCATTCTCCACATCAGGACGGAGGTTCAGAGTGGCTGGGTGATATGTGCAAGACCACACAGGACGAGAAGCCACGTGTCTAAGACCACCGTGTAGCTCACCACACCACACCACACCACGCTGCCTTTCAGATTCATATCTGGGTCGTACTAAACACTGAGAAAAATGTAAACAGTGTTATATAACACATACAGAAAAATCCATAACTTCATTACTGTAATGCTTATGTTTCCATTACTAAAAATCATGGCTGTGGCACAGACCACTGGACCATGGTCCCCAGTCTTCCCAGCAGTGACACACAACCACAAGGCTGAGCTCTGGCCAGTGGGGTGGGTATGGGAGTGACATATGCAGCTGCAGGCCTGGCCCATGGAAGCCCTCTCCTCTCACTGGGCTGGTGAGTGCTGGGCTCCAGGGTGAACTTGGAGGCCAGAGCTGAAGACGGTGGAGTTGGTAAATGGACGACGCTTTCTCCCAAATCGCCACTTGGAAGAGAGCTGCCTGGTGATTCTGAGCACCCACTTTGAACTGTGGCATGAACATGAAACTGTGATGTTGTTAGAAAGAGACTGGGTTAAGCCACTGAGGTTTTGGCTAGCATTTATTCGAACTAATATATAATACATTTGTCAATTTAATTCTTATAATGCCCTATGAATGGGATATTATCTCCATTTTATGAATGGAAAACCAAGAACGAAAGTGGTCATACTTCTCACATGAGGCACAGCCAAGATTTGAACGCATTCCCATGCCTCTCAGAGGTTCCTGTGATGAAGATTCAACTGAAGGACTCCCACAGATATGAACCATTTTATGCATCAACTCTGCCCACCACCAACAGGTGGCAGTAGTGGCTGCCTACTGACTGTCACTGAATTGATGAACAAATGGATTTAGGGATGTCATGAAATGAAATATAGCCTGTCAGTGCAGAGAGGAGTTTCTAGGAGCTCGGCTACCTTTCCTCTGCCGAGGAATAATTTTAGCTTCTTGAGGATTATCATTGCAAGTTACTCAAACTCCTGGGCCTTCTAATTCTCTCCTTTGAAAAGGAGGAAATGGGCCTAGAATCTGATAATCAATACATTCCCCTCAGACTCTGATGGTCCATTGTGCGCACGTGAAAAAACCCGAACTGCTGACCTTGTAAAGAGATGCTAAGCTTACAATTCACACTGGGCTGTCCCCGTCTCCCTAGGAGAGACACGCAGGGTAGTAAGTTAGAGTGTGGTTACTCTCCACAGTGTGAAAACAGGCTAAAGCTAATGCCAAATTTAAACCAACCAACCTCCCTCCCTCCCTTTCTTTTCTTCCTTTCTTTTCTCTATATTTAAATTTTTTCTCCAATTATATAATTGCATAATCAAACTAATGTTGAGAAAAAGGAATAAGACCCACAGACACTCAAAACTGAGCAAGCGATGTGCAGGACACGTTATAAAGAAGGAGGCAGAGGAGCAGAATGGCTGACGCTAGGCTCTGGGTCACAGCCGTCCTGGGTTCAAAGCTGGGCTCCACCACTCACTTACCGTGTGGCCTCACGTAAGTTTCCAAACCTCCCGGGGCCTCAGGTCCCCTTCTGTGAGAAGGAGGGAAGGTAATACATCTAAACACAGGGCTTTGTGAGGATTAGAGCCAGGGCCTGGAGATGGGATGGTGGGAACGGGGAAGGTGACATACATGACTGCATTATAATGGCTTCCGTTGAGAATAAAATCAGAAACAGCAGTTGTATGCTAATTATTTTCTCTCACTTGTCACATTAACCTGAGCTATTTCCTGGTGTGTATGCAGCTTGGCTGCGCTAGCTCATCGTTCCTTCCTCAAAACAGAAGTCACATCTCTTTATTCTGCAGCACGTCTGGCTCCTGGGCAGGGAGAATGTAAGTTAGGCAGTGCTTCCTGCGTACAGGAGTTTCAACACGCTCGGTCTCGAAGTGTTCCACTTCAGCTTTCCAGAGCAGGGCTGACACCACGGCTGCCCACAGGAGGAGAGCGGGTCTGTCAGGTGGGGCGCCTGCCGTGCTGCTGTGAAACTGCAGACCTGTGGACCATCACTCTCCTGACCACTGAGGCAGCCGCTCGCCACGCGTGGCTATTTCAGTGTACGTGAATCAAGAGTAAATACCATTAAAAACACACTTCTTCACACAACCACATTTCAGGGGCTCACTAGCCACAGGGGGCCAGGGCTGCCCCATGGAGCGGTGTGGGCAGAGTGCGTCCCTCGCTGCTGAGTTCTGTGGGACAGCGCTGCTTGAGGGCCCCAGAGTCCCTGAGAGCTGGAGAAAGATCATCCAGGCTCAGGGCCTTCTGGCTCAATTTCCTTTCTCATTATTTATTCAAAAATTATTACATGCCAACTGTGTGACGTACTAACAGTTACCATTTATTAAGCATTGAGTATGTGCACGACGCAATGCTAAGCCCTCTGCACACATAATCTATCCAATTCTCATGCTCCGAAAGGTGGCATTATTAACTATTGTAATAGCTATTCCTGATAATTACATCAATTATAATTATTATGAATTAATTGTGATTAGCTTGCTTTTTAGGAGTGAGGAAACAGGCTCAGAAAGCATGACTTCCTTGCCTGAGACTTCACAGCTGGGGCTCAGATTCAGCATTTATCTGGCTCCGCGGGTCCCGGGCTTAACCACCACGCCCCGCTGTCCCCTTCTCGCGCCTCTCTAAGGCACACTTTGGGAGCTATGGAGACATGTAAACATGCGAAACAGTCACTACCTTCAAAGCCTTTCAATCTAGTGTGGGAAATCAATGGACGGAAATGTATATAACTATAATTACGTCTAGTTCTGTTCAAGCTCTGTTCAGGAAGGATAGACGTGGTAAAAAGAAATATGGACTGGAGATAGAAAAGCCAGTTATGAGGCCATTACATCAGTCAGGACATAATGGGATACAGGAGCTGAAGAGTAGAGATGGTGGAAATGAACAGCCATAAAGCAAGCACAGCCAGTATTCAGGGACCACTGGATTTGGGGAGAAAGAAAAAGGCCAGGCACCAAGATGACCCTGCCCCACAGTGAACCTCGCCTCCTGGTACCCACGGCTTGGCAAGTCCCTCTCACCTTAGAGCTGGCCTGTGTGACCAGCCGGACAAGGCGGCGGCGATGGCATGTGACTGCTAAGGCTAGGTCATAAAAGGCAGTGCGCTTCCAGCTGCTCTCTTGGTTTGCTCTCTGTGGGAGGCCAGAGCCATGATGGCAGGGAGGCTGCACGGGGTGAGCCTGTGAGACACAAGACGTGATTATTTGTGTTTTTAGCTGCCGAGTGTTGGAGTGATTTGCTATGTAGCGATAGAGAGCTCACAGAGGAGGCATCTGATTACTCTGGGATGTTTAAGCTTGGGTGATGCTGGAGCTTATTATCCATTTCCCTTCCTTTCAGAACAGAATCCATATAAGCAAACCACTGTGTGACCCAATCCCATATGGACTTTCATTGAAAAAAAACAGCTGTCTGGGATCTGAACAGTGGATAAACAGTATTTAAACCTTTGCGACGGTCTCTGCTGAATGTGCTGTAGGGAGACTGCTTTAAAACTCTTAGCTAATGGGGCTGTGAAGTATATATAGCACAGGGGAGATAGTCAATAATCTGGTAATAATTATGGATGGTGCCAGGTGGTACCAGATTAATCATGGGGTCACTGTGTAAATTATATAAATGTCTAATCACTGTGCTGTACGCCTGAGACTAACACAAAATAACACTGAATGTCAACTGTAATTGAAAAATAAAAACAACAACAAAAAAACCCACTTAGCTAAATTTCTTTAAAATTTCATTTCCCCATCTTACCCTCAATATTGCCTTGATACCAAATTAACTCCAAAATTTATCTTAAAGATCTTCTCAAAACACTGCACTGTGAATTCAAGCCAAGCAGGCTTTTGCTGCTCTCTTTCTTTGACCAGAGTTTTATTGTGAAGATCCATATTAACCTCCGCTGTCCCATCTGCTCATGATTCGCATTCTGTATAACAAAGGGGACCCCAGGAACCATCCCAAAGCAAAATGTCCTCTTTAAGAGGGGAAGGGTGGAGAAGAGAGCGAGAGGGCCCATATTTCATATGAATAAGCCAACAAAAATACGGTGCAGTTTTCTTTTCACACGTCTGCTCACCAAAGAAACCGCTCAGGAGGAAGCCAGGTTCAGGCCAGTCCACTGACTGTGACCCTGAAGAGGCTGAACTGCTGTTCAGTATCTCAATTAACTCACTTGCAAAACGATGAGATCTACTTGCCGGCTTGTGGGAGGGTAAAATGAGTGAAAGCAACTCAGGCAGTGCCCGCCATGTTGGAAGCCTTCACAAGCTATTAAAGTCCAATATACCTGAATTATGGGCAATTCAGTGTCTTTACGTGTTATACAAAGGCTAACTGATTTCAGACGCCGGTACTTGACACACTTCTAAAACACGCTCTGTTTGCCTCCTTTGATATTTTGCGCTAGCTTCTTCTATTGGGTTGTCGGAAAAGTCATGACGTGTGTTTGCAACAGATGGCACCAGTTCATTTTTGGAATTACTAGTGTCATTCGCATCTATGTTATTCCTACGTCATTTGACAGCTGACAGTTCTAGCTTCATTCTAAAAACAAATTGAGTGATTTGGTTGAGTTTTGGAGATTTTACAACATGATAAAGATGGAAGACTGAACTGTGCATTTTTTGCCATATTTTACTGCTTTACTTTCATAAAGGGAAGAACACGTGTCACGCTTGTGAAAAGTTGCATAAAGTTGACAGTGACAATGCTCTACAAGGACGTCAGTGCCAACGATGGTTCACAAAATTCCGTGCTGGTGATTTTGATCTCAACAATGCTCCTCGGTCAGGGAGGCCCCCAAGGTTGATGACGACAAAATAAAGGCATTGATTGAGTCAAACCCACGTTACACGACACAAGAGATTGCAGAAACATTAAACATCCATCATTCAAGCATTCACAACCACCTGAAGAAGCTGGGATACATAAGCAAGCTCGATATTTGGATTCCGCTGAACTCAAAAAAGTTTATTTGATGGCACGTAAAAACATCTGCAATATGCTCATTACATGTTAGGAAAACAATCCTTTTCCGATGCGACTGATAACTGGTGATGAGAAGTGGATTGTTGACAACAATGTGGTGTGCAAACGGTCTTGGACCTGATGTGATGATTCGCCTCAAACCACATCGAAAGCAGACATTCATCAGAGGAAGGTTATGCTCTCAGTGCAGTGGGATTTTAAAGGTGTTGTGTTTTTCAAGCGCCTACCAAGGAACCAAACAATTTGAATGTGTACTGTTGGCAATTGGACAGTTTTAATGAATCCATCATCCAGAAATGTCCAGAGCTTGTTAATTGTAAAGGAGTTGTGTTCCATTGTGACAATGCGAGACCACACACAAGTATGGTCACCCATCAAAAATTACTGGAGCTTGGATGGGATGTGTTGCCACACCCACCATAGTTGCCTGACCTTGCACCGTCAGACTTCCACTTGTTTCATTCTCTTCAAAACTCCTTGCGTGGTATAACGTTCAATTCAGATGAGGCTGTACATCAGCACCTTGTTTAGTTGTTCGCAAATAAAGACAGGTCCTTCTAAGAATGAGGAATTATGAAGCTCACTGAAAGATGGCAAAAGGTTATCGAACAAAACGGGCAATATATCATTAATTTTTGTTCTTTATATAAATAAATGACCTTTGAAAAACATAGACAAAATACGGCATGACTTTTCCGACAATCCAATATCATTGTTAGGACAACAAGGTGGCTGTAATCTTGGTGTGGCATTGAATAGCGTCCATCACCTCTGGACACAAAAGCTGTAGGCACTTTAATTCTGATTTATGTCATGTCAAACATGGCAGATAACTTCTTTTCCTATCTTTCTGCATATTTGTTTCTGATTCTGAATATATAGGAAAGTCCATTAGACTACAAGTGCTGAACCTCACTATCTCGTATAAGCATTCGATTCAAGTCCGCAACTATATTTTGAGCCCCTACTATGTGCCACAGTTCTAGGCACTTTGGTTGCATCGATGTACAGAAAGCCAAAGGTACCTGCCTCATGGAGCGTCATGCTAGCGGGAAAATACAGAAAATAAACAACAAACACAGCATAAAAATAAATTATACAGAGTAGTAAAAATGCTAATTACAATAAAAAAAGAAAATCTAGAGTAAGGGCGATGAGAAGTGAGGTGGCAGGGGGAAGTATGCTATCTGGGGAGGCTGTCAGGGTAGTCTCATAGAGAAGGTCAGATCTGTAAGATGTCTTGACGTGAGGAAGTTGGTCAAATGTTCCAAGCAAAGGGAACAGCTGGTGCACAGGCCCTGGGGAGGGACAGCAAGGAGGCCAGATCTCTGGAGGAGAGTGAGAGCCAGAGATGTAATGGGGACTATTGTGTATGGGGCCTTTCTGGCCACTGCCAAGACTCACTCTTACCCTGAGGGAAAACCAAACCACGGGGGGATTTTGGCAGAGAAGGGACATAATCTGACATATTTGAAAAGCATTCCTATGGCTGCTGAGTGTGGTGAATCACTGCAGGAGGCGAGGGTGGGAGCAGGGCTGCCATGTAGGAGGCGATGCCATACTCCAGGCAGAGACGGGAGCAGGGGAGGCGGTGAAGAGGGTCAGATCACACACAGGTCTTACCTTTCTCAGGAGCGTTGCAACTCCATTCGCGCCTCATTAAAATGCTGCAAAAAGTCTTCTGTGGTGGATGGACATGCACGCATTCATTTGCTCTCTAGTTTTGTAGCTTTTCCCTAGTTTAAAAACAAACAAACAAAATACCCTATTGATTCTCAGATAACACCCAGCTGACGAAACAACTTTGTGATACTCCAGGAACAAAGTTTTAATGTATTATCTTACATACTGAGAAAATGCTCATTCGCTCTAAAGGTCATTTCCCATCCATTCGGAAAAAAACTACCTTTAAACAGGCACCACGGTTGTGAGTTACGCCTCCAACCTTCAGTTCTGATCTGAGATTAGGCCAAATACAGAGCTGCTCGTCCTAGCACAGCCCTGGAAGCTCCCTCTGCTTCGCAGCACAGAAGCATGAAACCATGGTAGCCAGAGTAACTGATGGGCAGGAGAAAGCTAAGGAGGCCACCACAAGCCTCAACAATGGATCCTGCAAATACACCGGACATTTGAAATTGCATTAGTTATTTCTTCTTAGTCATTTTCCCGACCTTCAAGAAAAGGAATAAAAGAATGGTGAGAACTTCCTTCCACTGCCACCACTTCTCCCAAAATGCAGCACCAAGTTTAGTCTCCTTGAGGTCACAGGGCCACCCTGCTATGCAAATCTTCCCTATTTATTAGAATTGTTGGGGCTGTCTATAACAGGCACATAGAAAAGAGAATAAAAATATCAAGCCAACTACAAATGCATTGTGAAGGAGTTACATTCATATAGACCTAGGATAAACACTTCTGCCTCCTCCTCTGAGGACAGTGGTGATCGGTAAGGCCATCTCTACATGACTCTTTTCGCACAGCCAGAGCAGTAAAGCAGATGACCATGTGACCTGGAGGTGGAAGCCTTGATGAAAGTCAGCTGGGCTGGGAATGAGAGCTTCTCTACATTTCTGGGTTCTCTAGAGGAATGCAATGCTTCTTCCATTTTTCTAAGAGCCGTTACGGGAGCCGCTTCAAGTGCTTTAGGTGTGTGTCTTTAGCTGTCGTCTGGACATTCTTCGTACACGCCCATCCAGTTCACCTTCCAAGCCAGAGACCTGGAAACTTGCCATCATTTCCTTCCTTTCCTCCCTGTATCGGTCAAGGTTCCCTCGGAGGAGCAGAACCACTATGGACATTATGGACTAAGGGATTCACTATAGGAATTAGACCTCACACCATTATGGGAGAAGCCAGGGAAGTAAAGGCCTGAAATGACCAGAGAAGAATCACCTGCCAGCCAGCTGCTGGAGTGGAACTACGAAGGAGGCTTTGTGGAAGTCTGTGGGAGGGTCTCATGGCAACCGACTCTGAATCCCATGGGCCACCAGGTGTGTTAGGCCTGGGGGCACTCCGGCGGTCAGGAAGGAAAGCTGGACATCCTTAAGGAAGACTGAGGAAAACCTAGAGTCACAAGGATACACTGGAACCTACAGGAAGCACTGGAACTCATGTCTGTCTCACCGCATGTCACCCTGATGACCAGCACGAGAAGCTGGCACCCCGACTCTGAGAGCTGCTCCCGTGCCCAGCTCAGCCCCTGGAAAGACCTAAGGAGGAGACGGGTGAGAGGCAGACAAGCTGAGGGCCAGTGCTGCCCGGGGAGCCGGCAGATCCCTGACATGATGGCTGCTACGTCACTTCCACTTTCCAAAACATACCCAGAGAAGGAAATTCCGGGAAATGTAATTGCAGCTAAGTTGACAGAACACAAAATCAACATATTCCATACAGAGCAATGAATTTTAATTCTTACAGATTTCTTGAATATGTCCCTTCCCCACCTTCTCCACTACCATCGCTAAGTTCAGGCTCCTGACCTCTGTCCCCTGGCCGAGCAGACACACAAACCACTCGATGAGTTTCAGGGTCATGGTTGTAAGTATTTCATAAAGCCATCTGCTACAATAAGAACTGCTGCCTCCCTAGCTCTTTGGGTACCCAGACATCTCTGGCACACCCTGGAGTCTGTTTGGCTTCACGTCTGGCCAGTATCGCTGGCACTCCCCTGTCTCCTCTGCTGACGCGCCCATCAGTACTGCGCTTGTCCTATCAGCACTCAGGAGTGGGGACAGGCCAGAAAGGAGAGGGGGTGGGTCATCATGGCAGCCGGCATTCGCTGTGCTGGGTCCTTAGTCCACGCATGTCTCTCCTAGCCTCACAACGATGTTTCAATGAATACCTCCACTTTCTAAAACAGAAACCTTCAGTTCGTAGTGGGTAATGCCTCAGCCCGTTACACTATCAGCAGGCGCTGGGCTCAGACTCAGACCTGGGTGTGTTCCCGCTGCGGATACTCTTCCTCCTGCACCAAAGAGGCTGCGGCCACCTGGTCCACGGAGCTGGCCTTCCTTCTGGGCTTTCACAGCCACCAGCTCGTTTACCTTATTGGGTTTGGACTCCTGGCAGGCTGGGCTGGATTCCCTTTGCGGTAGCTGCAGAGGTGCCCCGCCCCAATGCCTCCGTGAGCAGGACGAGTACCATAGATGTGTGAGGGGGCAGAGGCTGGGGTGGGGGAGGGGGCAGAGGCTGGGATGGGGGAGGGCGGGACTCCAGCCACCTAGAGACATGCCTGTCTAAGGTCCGTGAACTCCAGCCAATGACCACCAGCTGGAATGCAGACCCAGTGCTGCATCCAACTAACTGGTGGTGGCTCCTAACTTTAAATGTCGGCTCAGTATGTTTGCTAAGGACAATTGGCCCCAACAGTAGTTTTAAGATGCTGTGTGGGCTAAACAGATGCCAACCAGATGCACCTCAGGCTGCTAATTTGCCACCTCCATCCTGGCGACCTTGTGCAGGATCCTTTGGGTTTGTGGGTGCCATGGCAGACTCCCCCGAAAGTTTACCCAAATCCCAGGGAGGAGTGGGGAGAGCCGCAGGTCAGCCGTGGCTGGCTTGGTTGCTCTGGACTCCCAGAGGCCTGCAGACCTAGAGGCTTCTGCTGAGGAGAAGCAGGCAAAGCTTCAAACCCAGACATCTGGGCCAAACGGACATGAAAGGGGCTGCAGCGAGTAACCGTGTGGGTGACTGAGAACGTGACTCAGTGGCTGACATGTGGGGTGCATCAAGTGTGAGGACTATCAGCAGGAAGAGAAGGTGGGGGCGGGGGAGTGACGCCTAGTGTTGGGAGGAAAGGAAGACAGGGCTGAGCAGGGAGAGGCCACGGGCACGCTCCGACCTGTTCCATCTGCTGATGGCTCCGTCCCCACGCTGTGCAGGGACCAGGAGGTGTTTGCGCTCATCGGGCTGGAGATGGGCAGTCGCTCGGCCAGGGCGGACATATTCAGGAACTCGCAGCTACTGCTGTCACCAGAACCCGTCTTTCCTAACAAGTTATGAAGTGCTCCCTATTACCTTTGAGCTAACTGCTGAGCAATGTCACGGCATAGTTTGGGCGTCTCAGAATCCCGACTGAATAGATACAGGGTGGCCGAGATGACGGCTATCATTCCAGTACCCAATTCCAAGGCACTGCTGCCTCCCCGTCCAAGGATTAAGGCCTGTGGCGGAGGGGCCAGGACCAGCGCATGGACGCTGGCAAGCGTTTTAACGAAGCGAGTAGACTCACAAAAGCGAGGGCACGGGCAGCGGGCCCTCCGGCACTGAAGGGACATGAGCATGGACACGGCAGACAAAGCCCAGCGGCGGCCACCACAGCCTGAGAGGGCTGCTGCCGCCAGGGCTCTCCAGTGTCATGACCCCATTCTTCACCCATCTGTTCCTTCAGAAGGCCAGACGAGGTTGCACGCAGATTCTGAAACTTCTTTTTTCCACTTTATGAGAAAAAAATTATACAACTTGGCATGATACTCATATGACGGTTGTGCAGTTTTCACATCACAAAGCCCAGGTGCTGAGTGAGCCTGGGGGTGCAGCCCTCCTACACAGAAACCAACAGTGAGAGAAGCCGGAGCCGGTGACCGGGTGCACGGTTAGAGGGTGGGAAGGGAGGCGCGGGGTCCCCGGCTAGCCCCAGGGGCTCCGCGGCATGGAGGTTTCAAAGCCCTGCTGACGTTCCGGAAAAGCCACCATCGTTTCACTTGATTTGGAAACGTTCTTCCCAGATTTTAAGAAACTCCCTTTTCCCAATTCCCATCTCCATCTCCGATAAAAAAGATTTTAAACAATCGATGAAGGTGCAGTTTTCTCATCAGAAAAACAGGGGCTCAGCCTTAATCTTCTTGAGTCTGGAATCTTTTCAAGGATATGATGAAAGCTGTGGACCACTCCACGACAATGCACAGGCCTCCGAGGCGCAAACCTTTTCAAACTCTTCCCTGAAAAATACAGATGCCTGGGCCCCACCCCAGAGCGATGAAATCCGTGTGGCTCCGGGTGGAGCCTGGGTATGTTATCATGTTAAAGAATGTCTGTAGGTGATTTTCACATGGTCAGGGCTGAGAACTGGAGCCCTTGGGGCCCTAATTGAACACAATAAGAATAAAGGTTAGGAGACAAGGAAACCCAGAAGCAATACACCTCTGAAGAACCTACCTGGAAGGATGTGAGAGATGACTTGCTCCTCATCGCTAATTCCAGGTTACTCCTGCCTCCTCCATCCTAAAAACGAAACACCTGCTTTGAGTTGCGAGCCACCAGGCCCATGTCACAGCCAGTGTCCTTGCCTCATCCTTACACTCCCCCAGCGCCAAGGCCCCTTTCCCTCATCCCTTGATACCCACCCTGTCAGTTAACCACCCCTCACTTCCCCTGCCATTGCTCCTGATAGCTCTTGGTGTTTAAATGCTCACACAGATAACCCTGCTGATATGCTGGCCTGTCAGTTCCTTGACCTCACCTGTTTCAAAGATCTTACTGACTCACTTCTGTGGCCATATCCTACTAGACCATGTCATTATCCATGACTTCAATCCCTTTACAACCTCAGTTCCAAGCGTCCCGCCCTCTGACCCCCCCCAATCTTTCCAGCTGATTCTCTCTCGTACCCCAACTCCCAACAATCGTCCACTTCATCACTTGCAACTTATTGACCCTACGAACTGTGGACTGTCCCTTCCTCTGCCCCCATGTCATCACTTCCGTCTTTCTCCATCATTATCATTATCACTTCTCTCACTTCACTGTCTTCACCTGGAAAGGACAATGGTGGCTAATCCACCTCTGCATCTACCCTCTGCTCTCCTCCACACAGCTGAGCTTGGCTGGAGAAGAGCAGGCATCCACGCCCACTGGTCTCACTGACAATGCAGGCCCGTCAACCTCAAAGGGGCCACGGGGCTGCCTGATAATCTCACCAAATGCCCTAGTCCGTCTGCTCTCTGCACTCCCACTGATTACTATATCACAGCCTATCCTCTCTTCCAATACCTCCTTCCCCATCTGGGGTCTCAGCTAATGACCTTGCTTCCATTTCCTCTGAGAACTTAGAAGCATCAGAAGAGAGCTCCTCATGCTCTCACCACCATGCCGGCCCACCC